TTTGTTTTATTAGTTAGAAGAAAAGGAGGATGTTCCCATAGGTCATAGAATCTCTCTGCTTCAGCAGCTTCTAATCCAAAAATCATCATATCAGGCCTAATCTGCCTGGATTACTGCCCTGAGGCAGTTTTCCAGTCAGCACTCCCTCCCCTCCCTTTTCGTCCACAGTGGAGCAGGCAAGAATGTGCAGAAATCTGAGGAACAAAAGCCGCTCTTTGTTTTCAGGCATCAGAGCCGAAGTGGCAGCTAGCGTGAATAAGGGTCAAAGGTCACTGGCTGATTCAGAGCCTGTTTAAAAGCCTCACAGAGACGGGAGCGGCGGACGCAGTACAAGGTGTCCTCGCAGAGCGGCGGGGGAAAACGTGTTAAAGATACATTTTGACTTCGGTGCAAACGTTTCCTTCTGTCTGCACGGCTTTCAGCTCAGCTTAGGCTTCTCCTCTGCTGCCGCCTGCTTTGTTTCTGCAAAAGTTTCTGCAAAAACGTTCTGAAAGTGAGAGTTTCACCAAACGCAGTGAAAGCTTTCACAATCACGTTTTTCTCACAACATAAAGCATTGGCTTCAGCCGAGCCATGGAGGGTGGGGGGAGTAGTTGCCACTCCGTATTAAAGCTGTGAATCTGATGCTGCTGGTGTGGAATGCTCCCTAGGCTGCGTTTGTGTTGCATTCCTGGTGAAAGCACCATAGTGATGGAGTGTGGGCGCCTTGCACGCCTTCCAGCGTGTCTCCGAGTCTCTGCAGAGGAAACCGAAGGAGCAGGTGGAATGCGGCTGATAAGAATAAATCAATAACTAGATGACAGGCGGCGGGTTATTAAGCGTCAGGGTGGAGCAGGTGTGCATGGCAGGGTTTGTAATTTACCATCAGTGGGGTTTTTTTATTATAAGAAATGAAATCGGCACAAAGGGGAAGCACTCGTCTGCTTTGAGTCACCGCTATGCTGCAATATTTGCATTTCTATAAGCGGGGATTTTCAGAAAAAAAACTAATGTTCGCTTTCAGTTTCGGGTCTAATATCTGATCCAGTCGGGCCGCTGCTCTAGTTTTAGGTTCATTTCACACCTTTCTTTGTTGTTTTTTCTTCTTCTGTGAGTGAAGTCTTTTGATTCCACACCTTGGCACAGGCAGAAACCACATCCTCCAGCTGAACAGGGAGGTTACAACTATTGCCAAACAGTGTTTGGCTATTTTGATTTTGAGAATAAAGTCGGAATATTACGAGAATAAAGTCATCATAAAACAACCCGTTTCAGAAAGAAAGCATCCGAGCAGCTCCACCAATCAGCAACCAGAGTCCACTTTGACATCCTGCCCAGTTTGATGCTGCTGCTAAAAGATTTCCTGATTTGTCAAACCGAAGCTAAAGTATAACTTCACATGATGCTCCACATTCCTCATTTTAAGAAAGAAACAGCTTCTTGGAAGAGCTGTCGTCAAATACAACTTGTTTCTCGTCATTTTAGGACTTTATTCTCTTAATATTACGACTTTATTCCCGGATTTTATCACTATTCTCATTTTGACTTTATTCTCGTAATGTTAAAGCTTTATTCTGGAAATAGAAACAAATAAAATCTCCAGCCTGGCCCTAATACTCTGTGGTAAACTATAGAGCTCCCTGCCTGTATGATTTTACACATTTAACATTTTGGGGTTTTGTTATTAGTCAGAGGGGTTAAAAACGACACCTTTAAAAAAACAT